CTGTTTGGTGTTTTATGTAAATGAATAATGTAAATTAAAATCCTCCGCTAAAATGCAGTATCAAATAACGTCTATGAAAATTCCAAAATTCTATCTGCAGTGTGATAAAAAAATATCACCTGATCCGTCCTAAATAAGCAGAAAAATGTGTTACGTTAAAGAGTACGAGGCCAGTTTCCCCATATCGCTAAATAAATACATTCGCCACAAATAGGTCGACGTCGCGCACTATTTTCAGTAAGACGCCCGCGCATTGTAATCCGAGAAGCGACACTCTCACAAATCTTAACACTAATCGTGGATACGCCACTGCACTGCACTTTCACCCTAACTCCTGAGATCCTGTGTCCTGGGTTGTGGGATCAAGTCGTCCTGTGGGTATCCACGGCCAGGGAACTCACCTACGGGCGGTTAACACGGCGGAGCGGCACGCACTAAGCGTCGCCCGCCCTACAGACCAATCCGCCGCCCGCCCAGCTATTTTCGGTGCCAAAAATTCAGGATTCCGATCCGCGAGACAAGCTACATCATGTATGGATACTTGGATATCGGATTTATTGCAATAAACGTGCAGTCTCCGTCGGAAGTCATTGTATTCATATACATGGGAGTGTTTAATATTTATTTAAAAATCTAAATAAAATTCAGTTGACTGAGTTTCCTTTTTATGCAATTTCGTATGCTGAGTGTAAAATATACATACAATATACACTTCATAATAGATGCAAAAATCATACACCCCGTGTGTATGATTTTAATTTAATTTTACATATTTGCATAGGTAATATTATTAAGTGAAATGGGAATATATAAGAAATAAACATTCATTTAAATTGAGAAGGTAACAAATTATATTACTCATAAAAATGGTTCGTTACCTAGCAAATATTCTATAAAATATAATTCCTACAAACAAAAAAAAATTGTGAATAAGTGAAATGTTTAATAATTCTAAATTAAATGTATCATTGCGTAGAGCTACCTACTGTCTACTGTCTATTTATAATAGCCATTGAGATCATCGGTCTTTCATCTAGTTAGCACTAAATAAAGAATACAAAACAAACTTTTGAACTTCATCTCATTATTTATAACTGCTCGACATCGGATTACATTCGTATTCATATTTGTACTTATTTAATTTTTTAACAGGAAGTGCACGTGTGGATACATCTATTTACTGTTTAGTCCCTTGGTCTCCCTTTTTTTAACTAAAAGCAAGCAAGTAAATGCAATGTATAAGAAAAAACAACTATAAGTTAGGTATAGCCCTGTATTGTGAGTCCTGGCATGGACAGGTATTTTATTATCTTACGTTAATAGATTACCTAACACCCCTGTGACTAAGTGCTTAGCGCATGAAGTTATGAACTGGGCCTTATAATAGAAAAAAAGACTACAAAATGGTGGGTGTTAGTTTAAACCAAGTTATAAGCATATTTTGGGACACTTATATATCTCAATTAGAAAGAAATAGCAGTTTGTAACTATAATTCACCCTGACACTAAGTTACGATAAACGATTAGGTTTTTGGTATGAAACGGTATAGGTTGCACTTTCAATAGCTAATTTTACTTTCATTTAGATTAATTTGTGAACCTATGAATTACATTTTACAAGATAGATGAGCATCAATAACATATATTTACTGCATGTATCCTACAGAATAGACGAATAAAATTGAAACAGCCTAGTCCAGTATTTCACAACGTGGGACTCACGACGCACAGTAGGCAATTTGATTGTTGTGGCGTGGCCTATTCGAAAATTTATTAAAATAATTTGGAATTTCAGTTTTTCATTATATTTACTCCTTACCTCTTGTTATAAGACGAGCTATCTTTTTATTTATTTAAAAATCTTCTTATTAATAATTTATCTTCTGCCTCGTAAGTAGCTTCTCATATATATTAATTATGACTTATTAACCATTGGATTAAAATTTATATTTATTTTATTATTATTTTTTAGATTTTACTTTATTTTAGTTCTAGTTAGTGTTACATGTTATTTTATGTTCTTTTTTGTTAATTATTTATGCACTTCTTGTAATTCACCCTCTGTAGGTGTTTCTTTTTTATTATTCCATACTAAAGCCTGGAAGAAATCGCGTGTTAGCGATTAAGCCGCCCGTTGCCTAATAATTTATGTAACCTGCTTTTATATGTATGTTTTTGTATAAGGTAAGAAGTGTAAATATAAAAAATAAATATGTTTTGAAATTTTACTTAGTGTTTCTTTAACAATTTCCTAGTAATTTTTTTAAACCCTATAATTTAAGTTAGGTACTTAAGTAAACAATGATTTTTTTATTATTATAAAATTATGTAAATGTTACATACAAATTTAAGAAAGGTTAGGTTGGGGATTGGGGCAGAAAAGCTTGGGTCACACTGGCCTAGTCAATGCCAAACCATGAGCTCATACAGCTGTAACCTGTAACGCTATTATGGTGTCTATATAACTATAAAAAACATATTAAATAATATAAAAAATAGTTTGTAACACGAGGTATGTCATCAAAGATAAATACAGTTATTTTATAAAACAGTACAACGTAACTGCTATGGTAACCAAGCCAAAAACCGAACTCTGCGCATCTAATGACATCAGCCATATATTTGTTTAATTACTAAACCTATTAAAAAATGAAGTATGAAGTCTAGGTAGTTTTACGATTCATGGCTTATGATATATTCCGCCTTTTGTACATTAATCCCCCCTATATCCGGACCTCGTTATAGGAAAAAAACGTTGTAGGCGTATTCTCTCTTCAGGCGTATACAAAAACTAGGACATAATTGAAACAGGCACACAAATGTAATAATGGACTTGACAAATCATTATAAATTTCACACTACTGAACTTGAGAAATCTCCGCCATATAGGGGACATACCGCGTTATATAGGGGATGAAAATCAACAACAAAAATAACGCGTTATACGATAACGCGATGTAGCGGGGATTACTGTACATTTAGAAATGTTCATTTCCTATTAAGTACGTAATTCGGAGTAATATTGGGTGTTTCCCACACAGCGTCTTTCATACATTAATACGAATACTATTCGAAATCGTCGTGTATTTGTGATTTTATTTTAAATTAATACGCCCACGGAGCGCTTCTCTAGTTTCCATTAAAAAAATATCAGTAATCTATATAAACCAATATTCACGTTCAATACCCCAAGCATTTAATAGTATTGTTGCGCCTTATTACTGTTTTCTCTCATGATAAAGATGTTTTATTGTTTGTTATATAAGTATAATAGATTTTATATTAGCAAGTAGACGTGTTTTAGTCCGGTCACACTCGTGACTTGAATGTTACGCTAAGGGCTAAAATAAAAGTAACATCTCTTGAAAAAAGTATATATTTAATCAATCAAATTCTTCGAAGCTTTACATTCGTCATTATTAAAAGCTACAAAAACTAAGCATGAGTATTTCATATAGAAAATGTGTGATACGGAGAGACACAAACATTAAATTATCCTATTTTACGTTAAGGTTAAGGTTTCCATGACAACAAAACCATGGTAGCAGGACGCTTTCGTTTTACAAATAAGTATTAAGAAATACAATCCTGCAGTAGTTCATTCCAATAAAATAATTTGACAAAGTTCATAATACACTATATCAAAATCATCAAGCTTTCACAGTAATTTTGTACATGATATTGCGCATTATAAGCGACGTAATTCCTATAATCAAATCATATTGCTTCAGACTATAGGTCTAAATTAATGAGTCTTGAAACCTTTAATCAAGATTCGGCAGTGCTAAAAAGTTTAATAAACAATCTGGTTATACATACAAAACCCGGAACTGCTCCTTAAATATTCAAACATCAGAGAGAAGATATAATTATAATCCTTACAAAGTTTCAGTACTTAGTGACTTTTTAAAAATAACTGAAGTACTTTATAAATATTAATTTAGTACTTATAAAAAGAACTACAATCACAGTCACATGCCAATTTAAAACCCGTCATGTGCTAAAAGCTTCTAATTTCCCGCTCATTTTTGCATTTAAAAATGGCGGCTCTTAAGCACCATTAGTATCCCGAAAGATCAGCAAACGTTTGGTCCACTTCTTCTGCAATCGCCTTATATTTACTTCTTTCTTCGATGACTTCGTCTGTGGGGGTTATTAGTTTTGTTAGCACTGTTAGTATGTTTAAAATATAATAAATTATACGATTAATAAATGAGGATGTTAGTAGTATTATTGAAGTACTGAAATAATTATTTTTATTTGTTCAGGTTACTGGAAGATATCCATATGGATAACTCAAACATACGTGTTATGTCAATTCTGTCTGCTTAACACAAAATATAATGATTTATGTACCTAAAATGTAATACATTACAAAAATTCAACTACATATGTAAAGAAAATCTAAGCAAAAGCATCATGCATGTCTATTGCCTCGCAATTTTTATCTGGCATTTCAGTTTAGAAATAAAACAAATTTATTAAATAATAATATATTTATTATTCATAGTTGAAAAAATAAATACCACCATAAATCTATGGATTGTAATACTTTAACGTATAAATTAATATAAAATAAATCTATACATAGTAAGCGGGCGGTCGCGTGCCCCATATTGACTGGCAGAAAGTGGAACGCAGTCACCCTCTATTCCTTAAGGATAAGCTCCACGAAGGCCGTGTCCAGATCGTCACCGATGTCCTTGTACTTCTCTTTCTCAGCCACGAGCTCGTCTAAGTATTATTAACAGCATTAAAACACTAACCTAACAACAACGCTAACAATCTACTCTAACTACAAGTGAAATCCTTTCGACAATTTTTAACTCCTGGAAGTCAAGTTTGGTAATTAGTTCAGCGAGATATACATAAGCAAGAGAGAAAAGTATGCTTACATGTCGTCCTTGTTATAGAAGCCATGCGTTTCGACTCGTATCGTCTTTATTCCATGCGTAAGGATTCGAATTTATAAGAGTGTGTGAGTGAAATATTTTACTGGTTTAAATGCACATGAAAAGCGGAAAGTTAGCGTCGGTCAATGGTAGCAGGGGCAGCGGTCGCAGGCGCGCCAGGTGGCCGCCGGCAGCCCGAGCTCCAGGCAGGCCAGCTCCAGTTCCACTCCCATGTCGGACATCACCTCCTTGCTCGTGATCAAGTCGTCTGCGAATACCGACCGCCGTCAAACGCGTTTTCACATATGCCATACCACACGCATGCTTAGATCAAAGGTAGGTACTATTCCATCAGCTATTTATTTAAATTTTTGTTACAAGATAGAGATTATTCGGCGGGAGCTTCTGCGGGGGCTTCTGCTGGGGCTTCAGCGGGGGTTTCAGCCGGGGTTTCAGCCGGCGCAGGCTCGGCCGGAGCCGGTTCGGCGGGGGCGGGTTCTGCGGGGGTGGGTTCCGGTGGTGGCGGCGTGGGCTCCTTGGGCGGTGGCGTGGGAGCTTTGGGCGGCGGAGTGGGCTCCTTCGGTGGAGGAGTGGGCTCCTTGGGCGGGGGCTGGGGGGCCTGTTGTTGCTGAGGCTTCTTGAGTCGCTCCTCCTTCGCTCTCGCGATCGCCTCGATCTGTCTGTCGGTCATTTCGACTCCGGGGATCAGTTCGACGGCAGTGTCGTCGATATCGTTGCCGATGTCATTGAACTGCTCCTTGGCGTTGATCAGGTCATCTGCGGCAGTCGTACGCGGTGAGCTCGCGTTTCGCGTGACTTTCATGCGTAAGCGACGTCATGCCGACTGTGGGGTCTTCGGGGCCGTGTCCGTACCGCACGGCATGTGCAACCATGCTACCGGGAAGGGGCCAACGCATGTCTCATGCTCTCTGTACTATACGCGCGGTGTCTCTTTGCCGACGATTTCTTTTGGTTTCTAAGGACATGCTTTAACACTGGCTGGAGTTCGTTATGGTACGCTCACTCTTTTCATGCCCCGTGCTCCACATTTAGAAGATTGACGATGATAAAAATTCATCGGTATTTTGAAAATGATTAAGATTTATTAACAAATGAAACGAAAACAAATTATATTAACATAAAATGACCTTATAGCTGATGGAACTAAATAAAAATTAGTGGAAGAGGACGTTAGAAGGTGACATGTTAGAAAAAAACAAACTAAAAATAATAATATAATATATTTATAAACACTTGTGTTAGAATACTCATAAACTCATTTACTTCTCACATAGGTACTTAATATCTATGAATTCATAAATTGTAAAAAATTTAAGACGTAAAACCGTCACTTGATCGTTAAATGTTAATTTGTTTTATATCAAAAATTCATAGTTTTAACGCCCGGTGCGCTAGTGACGTACACTCGCTTACGGATTGCCAGCTCGAAACTAAACTTAAGAAAGAATGGCTCTCATTTATCAGTCAAGCATTAAATAAGAACGAATGAAATATGACACAAGAAAATCTCTTGAAACTATTCATCATCAAGCAGTTCAAATACTTGTTTCCATCACTCATTAAATAAAAAAACATCTAATATCTGCTATTTAAGTAAAGTAATTATCGTAATGTGCTCTGAGCCAACCTCGATGTTATATTTTTAAGGGGAATGTTAATACAAAAATCGCGTGCAATAAAGTTCATTGTGCTCAACATTTAGACGTATAACGAATTGGTCCACGAAATGGAATGTCGTTTAACTTAAAAATACAAAAGCTGTCTCGTCGCGTACAACACCTAAAATATCCTTTTAGATTTAATATATGAACGACTAAGAATCGAGGATGCATCTACATTAATTATAGTGTACGTAAATTGCACATGGCAGTGGTGTCGTAGCGAACACTCGATCATAAAAAAGTAAAAGCGGCTGGCAATTAATCTACTTCTATTAACAGCTAGTCACCCGCCCGTCTCGCTCAAAGTATCTCAAAATAGAACAAAAACCTTAAGCAAAGGCAATAAATAAGAAAATTAATTTACAAGATTTCCCGCCCAAGAAACTAAAATTTTTGACAACCTCAACTTGACAAATGATGTAGAGGTTAGTGAAACGAAAGCTATTTATGGATATCGATAGTGAGCCGGGCGGGTAAGGCGAGGTGTTCACATGTTCTGGATATCGTGGAGCGTGGCTTCCATTTCCTCCTGCAGGAGTTTGCTCTTTTCGCGCTCGGACACCAGATCGTCTGCAATACCCCATGTGGACACGGTGAGACACACAAAACATTAGTCACTCGATAAAACCATATGCAACCTTTGGTCAATTGCATATGATTTAATCGAGGCAGGCAAAAATCAACATTAAAACATCCATGCAAAATAAAATGGGAAACTATAACAAAAATCGAGCAACTAGTTGGAACAACATTTAAACTCCATGCTTACGCAATAAAAAGAAAATATAGCGGTATCGAAAAGACGATGGTCCGAAAATTTAAACAAATTCATATGATCTGCGACCATCGCCTTTCCTTTGTTTTATTATCAATAATAAAGTTACTATGAAAATTATAAGTAAGCTAAGTCGTAGCGAAATGAGAGAGAAATAAGCTTTCAAATCTATTGTACAGCTTTAACAGCACGATTGATGGCTGACGTGATTTAAAGCTTTGGTTATTTTTCAAACGATTGTTATAACTTGACTTCAGAGATAATAATTTTTTCACTTAACCAACTGCTGTTCTCGTCTCTACTAATCTGTGAACCTTCAAAACTAACAAATCATATTTAAACTTCTTTACATTACAAATTGATCCAAAACTGATATTTAAAAAAAAACTAATATTTCATTGAAATGCATATTACCTTCGAGCCTGTCGACCTCCTTTTGTAGTTTTTGGACAGAGCGCTCAGCAAATTCAGCGCGAGCTTCAGCCTGAAAACATTGTAAACACGGCGATGTTAAAATCTAAACTTTTGAGAAAATAGCCTTTTTTCTGCATTTTGTACCAATATAACAAATTTGAAGACATTTTTAAACAATTACATTTTAAATAAATAACCAATTTTGAACTCTCAAAAACGTACAAATTTAAACAGAAAAAAGACTATTTTATACATTTCACGGAAACCCCATGCAAATATTCTTTCTTTTTATTTATTTTTGTAATTTAAAGCATCTAATTATTATTTTGAACAATTACGAAACAAACATTTACAGAAAAAACACATTAAATTCAAACAACATCTTTTTTACAATAAAGCTACACTAACACCATGCGAAATACCTTCACCAAGAGCAGTTATGCGCTGTGCTGTCGCTACGTAATACAAATTTACATATAATATACCATTACCCCCTATTATGAACAAATTGAAATGATAATGATAATGTTAGGGACATGATGAGTAGGTGTACTTTGGCCTCGTTATATAAGTACGTACTTTGCAGATAGTTTGGATTATTATAATTAGATTTTCTAAACGTCTGCATATTATTCAGAATTTTTACTAAGTGTCATTTAATTCCTTTTTTTTAATTCCTTTAACAATTGTCAGTGAATTGCTACTGATCTTAAACATGAGCAGTCAGGAAAGACTTGTCATCTGTGATATCTGTCAGTTGTCAATAATAGTGATGTGACCAAAGTGCCCCACTTATCGAGCAACTTACTTGCGTCAATTTCTGCGAGAGGCTGTGGATCTTATCCTCGACGTGGTCACGTGACGCCATCGCCTAGCCACATACGACTTATTGCATTATATACTCACAGCAAGCATGCTAGCGCCTATGTTGTGATTGCCCAATTCTTAACATCCAAACTATGCATACGCATCTCTTCACAATTACAAAATACTTTAAAGAACTGAGGAAAGCAGTAATAGTAACAAAATCGCACAGTCACAACATAAGCGGATAGGGTACATAGATAAAGAAATAAATACTCAGTAGATAGAACGAGAGAATACATGGACGAAGCACCAACCGTTCAGCCACTGGATTCACGAGCCTACACCCTCAGTAATAGCCACAATAAACAAGTTTCAAAAGTGATGAAATTCGTAACACGAATGTCACGGTTGACTAAAATTATGTAAAATAGAATCTAATGCGTGTTGGCACGCGTTACACGCCTTCGAAAGTTAAAGTGGCTATTACAACAAACACAAAATGGCGATGAGCATGAACCGATTCTACAACCGTAACCAGAACTATCTACGTCCTCGGTCGCCGGTTACCTCTTTGAGCGACGCGTCCAACAATTTCACCTGAGACTCGAACGTTTCTTCCCTTTGCGTCGCCTGTATTAGTTAACGATATAAAAACTCCATGCAGTATCATAGTACACAATGATACCAAATTAGAAATAAAAACTAAACGACATACTGTTACGTACACAACAACTAAAATCGGAAAGGGTTTATCTCACTACACACGATTGATTTACCATTGATTTAGGTTTGAATAGAGAAAATGTCAATTGTCATATGAGACCAAAGGTCACATTTCTATGGTAAATCAATCGTAATGCTACACAATGTGCGGCATGATGCAGTTAGGCAAGCGAAAACACTCGCTAAGAATCATTCCACATCACACCTCCTTTAGGCGGGTGGTCAGGGTTTTGATTTGATTTTTGTACTCCTCTTCACGTTGGTTTGCCTGTATGGAATTGACATTATTACTTTCATATAAATATATCAGTACGGTTCGTAAGACATCTTATCTTATTGGTTGGTGCTTAATTATTTCTCAATAGCTTGGGTAGTTCTAGCTTAAACTAGCTTATCTATGATGAAGAGACACATACCTTCTCCTCAGAGACCTCAAGGGACTTCAGGTTGTTACCGACAACGCGAAGTTCCTCCTCAAGCTCGACGATTTTGCTGAAAATTAAGTGAACTATAGTCAATTTCTTTGAATAAAAGGTTTCCTAAACTTGTCATATTAATTTCAAATGTTTAAAAATTTACAAAACTTCTATAGTGGCTAGTGAAACTTTACTACAATATTTTGAGACTGTTAACAATATTTTTATATCATATATCACTGAGTTACAGATATCATATTTTTGCTTAATCTCTAAATATCTTTTAACGATAACAATTGAACTAAATACTTAACAATTATAAAGGGGTCACGCGTTTAGTAATAAAAGCGCGATGTTCGGCAATTATTAGTTATTATCACGTTGCACATGCTACGGATACACGGTTTACTTTCATCATCGAAAATATTATTTTGGTCAGTAATCTTTGGTGATGATGATGAAAATTAACCGAAATATATACACCTTTTAAAATCGGAATTTTTATGTCATTTATCAATTTTATAGTTACGTAAGTTTGATATCTCGATCTCCGATAAAAACGTGTATTTGAGCATTGCACAAAAACATTCCGTTCGCAAGACTTGCTGTGTAGGTTCTCGGTTTACATAATTATCTTTGTATGAGCAAGTTTACGCAAATACATTTAGAAGCAAAAGACAAAAAAAAATAATCTGCACAAATACACCTAAACTTAAAAGCGCAGCGTACTGGAATTATTTAAGTTGAATTAATATAAGTTTGAATTAAGGACATAATGACGATCTGCAATAAACTTTTCGACTTAAGAAACATACACTTTACATAAATATATTGTGTAATTACCTACATTTTATTCAAGGTATTTATGAAGTGAACCTTAATTTACGAATAATTTTACATCACAGTGTAGCCCGAATGTTTTTGTGCAATGCAAGTACCGTTACGTAAGCATACTTACCATTCACTCTGTTCGGATCGCTCTTCGGCCCTCTCTAGATCCTGCTCCATGAGGACGAGCTTGCGCGCCACCTACCGCCGGCCGAGCGTTAGTACACGCCCACGCACACACACACAACACACACTAACTACAAGTGTTGCCAGATCTTATGTTATATGTATAGGAATAAAAAGGAAATGGGTGAGGGCAAGGGAACTTTGCGTGTGGTTATAACCTGTCACACACGTGTTAATAATAATTAATGAAATTAAATTCGACCTGGCAACACTGCCTACGCTCCGGCACCATTCTCGACTTCGCTGTCACGGTGCAGTGCATTGAAGCATCGGTATCGTCTTGCTGATTACATCTATAGCCTTCTAAATGACGGTGCAGGGAAAGTTGGATCGTAAGGAATTACCTTCTGATGTAGATATTTGTGACAAGGTATAAAATGTAAATTGATAAAATCTATCGTATTTCTTGGTATAGGGTAAGGCAACAAAGCGGGCAATCGAGAATGGCGCCAGCACTCAATTAAAAATAAAAACGAGGGTTGTCCCATTACATTTAGTTTTAAAAATTTCAAATATTAAAAGAAAATCTATGTGCTATCTAGTGCGTTATCATAATCGTTATGTGATGTGTGCGCTATATGTGCGGCACGCATACGGCCAGTAATTCTGGTGTATTGCGGCGCATATCTGAAAACGAAAATTGCCCTATACCACACATATTTCCTGATAGCCTAACACTTAAACACACATTGAGGACAGAAGTTTAGTTGACACATGGACATGATAGTTACATTACATAAGAAATATCCATGAGATGGGGCAACCCTTGTTTTTTATCTCAAAATGTGATGCTGGCAAACGCACGCGTCTGCCAACACCATTAAAAAACTTAATACTACAGACTACAGCATCACTAACCAACGCATTGAATAGTGACAAGGCCGAGTTAATAAAATGATTGATGTAGAATTAAAAAAAAAAAGACTCCAGCAGCTTCTCGTTCACCTAAGAATATGCATGTAAAGTTAGAACCAATGTTGGCAGTTATTGTGCAGATTAATGATGAACAACCATGCAAACGGTGTCAACTAGCAAACTAGCTCAGCACAGGACAATACTACATAGCCACTTGTAGTATTGATCCTGCCCCTGGGCAACTAAATCAATGGAAACCTACGATTCACCAGTCTCGGCGCGCTCCTCAGCGCGCTCCAAATCAGCCTCAACCATAGCCAGCTTACGAGCGACCTGGACACATCATTCCACATAAGCATTTTCTATTAAATAAATTCCTTGCTATTTTAGGTAAGATCTTGAGCACCCGTCATATATGGTATCACCTTATGTAAGATATATACGAACACGTTCTCCCTTTTAAGGGCAAGAAACGAACGATCACGCACGACACCGTACCATTTTTGGCGTGACTTTTTAAGACTGCCTTCACCGAGCAGGGTCACGTCAGGGGAAGTAGGGCAATTACAACCATCTGTTACTGACACATGTTGCTAAAATTTGCCGAAGATGTATATAATGTCATAAGTATATATGAATTTATCATTTCAGGAGAATTTATTACATTGACACACAAATGCAAATGTAATACGACGAAACATGCTGTAACTCCTTCACTAGAGTTTTACATAGGGAAATTGTTAAAAATCAATTATTACAAAACTTCACTTAAAACAAATTAGTTTAGGGGATTGTTAAAAGGGAGTACTAAAATCTCTAATGGGGTAAAGGGAGAATTGACAACACATACGTTAAGTATTAAAAATCACACGCAACGTCGATAACACATTGTTATTGCTCATTTCTTGAAAGCTTCTGGAAAGCTCTAATATCACAGCTTCCAAAAATATAACAAGCAAACCAAACCAAACAACACGAAAAAACAAAGACCTCATCGTATTTCTTGTCAGCTTCCTCAGCAAGGAACCTGGCTTCCTTGAGCTGGTTCTCCAAGGCATCCATACGTTCTTCATCAGCCAATGACCTGTTCTCCAGAACCTTGCGGGCACTGTCGCCGATAACAAATAACTTCAGTATAGTAGATAGAGAAAAAGAAGGAAAACCCAGTAGTTAGAAGACATGCAGACGAACACACGAGAAAAAACGTACAAAGCTACCTAAAACTGTGGAGAAAAATTAATTAGAACCATGATAAATATCTATTTAAGTATCTTGGTTCTAATGGACTTAAAACTAAACAAAATGAAACATCACGTTTCAGTTTGATCCATGCACTTATTGCTAAATTAAGTCTTAATAATATTGATAACTATATGTTTTTTCGTGGCCAGAAACAATTTGCCCGTCAACTTCGGGTTTGTGTTACTGTCACTGATGTTACCATACGCACATTAATATGTGAAAATAGAAACGATTGAATAGTTCGAAACAAATCGAGCGTAACGAAAGTGACGTGATTACTATGTCATAATACAGCGTGTAAAAAAATCAATAAATTCAGAATTAATTAATAACCTTACTAATACAGTATAAGCCACAGCTTCTTTTGTATGAATAAGAAGCCCACAAGCTATAATCCTAATAAAATTAACGGGATTTTCTTTACACTGTAGACTGTATAGTATTTATATACGTATGATAACAGGGAAGCAAAAACATCATTATCAAGCGTTCACCTCTTCGTATTTCTTGTCGGACTCTTCCGCTATGAGTTTCGCCTGGGAAAGCTGTGCTTCTAAGATGGCGACGCGGTCATCCTCCATGTTCGTTCGGTTCTCCAACGCCTTGCGTATTCTGATTAGTGCGGTCAAACACATGCGTGTTAAAACATCGATAAAACTTAACAACACTAGTTTTCACAACAATCGGAAATATACACGATTTTTTACATATATAATAGTAATTCAATAAAATATATAAAATGTATGTATATATTCGTGAATATTACCCATTAATTACATTGGTTCATAGGAAGTATTATAAAGGGTTGGCTTAAACTCAAGAATTTCTTTTACAGAAGTAAATCAGGTAATATGGTGGTTAGAATAAAAAAAGAAACATGCACACAATTATAGATAAAATTATAGAATTTTAAACAGTTTTTGCCAATGACTATAAATAATCGATCCTTAAAAATTAAAATAATAACTACACTCAAAAAATTTAATTAATCGTTTAAAATAATCTACGATTGCAATCATCATTTAGTTTTACTGAAATCAATAGCTATCTAGGTTTTAATATCATTAGTAAACTACTTAATGGCATTGTAGTTCTTAGGTTTCTATTCAAGATTACAGAGCTATGAAAATCTAAAATTTAAATATGTAGTAATAACTTCACAGACTGAGGCAATTCCAATAAAAAACATTATAATCTAGAAAAAGATAAAAATTTAAAATTCAATCTTGGAATAACATCGAACTGACCGTTCAGACTCATCGGCGGCTTGGCTGGCCTCAGCGAGCTTAGCTGTGGCTGTTGCGAGCCTCTCCTCAGACCTCTCAAGGTCCTCCTCCAACAATTGGATACGACGGTTGAGTGCAGCCACTTCGGATTCGGCCTGAAATTTTATTTACCATTAATCAAAAGAACTTATTATAACAGTCTAGATTAAGATAATCACCCTTCGTGTAATAAGAACTTTAATTGCTTTAAACAAAGCGCTGTTTATATAAAGAACAATGCAGGTACTATTAATACATAATCCTAATAATACATTAGTATTTCAGTTAGAGAATACTGCAAGATATTTCAAATAGACTAATATGGTTCAAAAAGAAAGTTATGTCTAGACAGTAGAAGTAGTAAATAAATAATCTATTACAAAAGAAATAGTAAAAGCGTATTAATTTTATATTAATGATAATTATATACTTAAATTTTACAGCTACTAGTATAAACCTTCAAATGGTGTCATTAACCCTTAATGTTTCTAATGAATTGTCGATACCATAACTACCGTTAAACGTCAGTTGACGATATTAATTTATAAGCGTTTAAAAAAATTGTCTTCTGCCTAACAATAACTCGATAGTTACCATTCCCAAAAATGGGTACTAACATGGTAACGCACTCAGGTCTTACGACGATTTACATTGTTAACATACGTGTGGAGAATTAATGGTCAATTGAAATATTTCGCTAGCTATTTATATTCAGTGAGCTGCACATGTCTATGACGTCACGCGTCCTTGTTGTGAGGAAGCCCGAGCGAGTCCCAGTTTCTCCTATCCTGTGTCGTCACTAATGCGTGGTAATAATTTACAATACGTTCTCTAATTATGAAAAATAATATTATACGGTAACTAACCAGTCTTAGTGAGATACCGGCGCAATTATTGTTGTGTAAATTTATTTCGAGATCCAGTTCGCCGCGCCAATGTTACTTTTAAAAGACACACAGGTACAAAAAAAATTAAGCCCCAACAAGTAGCTTTAATATCGCAATCCCATCGATTTAGGTGATAATTGTGTTATTCATAGATCTTTTTGCGACCTTGAACCGACGATTTGTTTATTTTTCGTCTTTGGCAAACGAAAAACTTAACCTTGTGAGTCAACAACCTTTGGTGTAAAAATATCTTCTAATTTGTAACATGATATGATTATAATATGGCTTCTTTAAGCAACACTTGACTGCTCTGTTTAATTCTCTATAGGAGGGTCCATATTTTTTATGGGATCTATTTGGGCGTGATCGTATCCATTGACAATTGACTCAATACAATGGTAATTGTAATACAAAACAGTCACGCATAGGGAATGGTAAAATTCCCTGTTTGTAATGCTAGACAATGAATGCACCGTTATTTTACTGTGAAGTTAAGATATTTTTCAACTACAAAGGTTAAAAGCATTGGAAAGGCTTTATGGCTTAAGTGATTAGTATCATCCGGTTTCATTTAAAATGCTCGGTTACTCGTATAAACAAAACGTGACAAATATATTTCAAAACTTATACTAAACTAATAAAGTGCTGCCAAATTTTAAAGATTAACCAACAATTTATAAAAACAAAATTAGTAGCTACATTCGGACTGTAGAGTTGGAAATCGGCAAATAGTCTTGTTCAAAATATGCAATGGAGTTGTTCGAAATTTAATAAAGGCAAGGAAAAATTATATCCTTGTACAGAAAAATATCTTTAATAGAAACATCTTATCGATACTGTTAAATATATAAAATTTGATACATGAAAACTGCGATAAGACACGCGAAGCTTCCAAATACAGTACATGAACACGAGTGTGGGCAGGTACAATTAGTTTTATTCCGCACAAGATAACGGAATCAGATATGTTTTAGAAAAAGAATGTGGGAAAGCTCAGCCTCAGATTTAAAAAAATTATTAGCAGAGCAGACGTATAAATTACGTCATGTCGATAAATACGAGTGGACACGCCTTTGAGCGCCGGCGCGGTCCTTCGGAGGACGTCGGAACCTTAGCGAACATAAGGAATGTATCGAAAGGATCACGGTACAGACCGCCTCCACATCATGTGTTTCAAGTCTGGTACACGACCCCAGTCGCGACCAAACCTGTTAGCAACAAAATCTGGCACACCGTGCACCGTTAAATGCGATATGAATTCTTAAAAGCCTTAAGCACCAGAAACTGAATCTCGTTGCACCACTATTTTTTATGCAACACTACAGAGCACGAATGAAAGAATAATAATGGTATGTTACAAAAAACATAAATCCGCCATCTCATTCCTATGGTTCCAACGGAGTCATAAAAGAAAGAGAGGTGAATATGCGTACGTCGCCGGCACACCTAAGTATGGCCGGACATTACTCACTATAGGTAGATAGTATTATAACTTTACGGAGACTGATAACTCATGTACATTTTAACATTCTTAACACAATGTTCACAAATTTAGATCGCTATTACACACATCACATGACACATATATAATACGTTATCTTACTTCTTCTCTTCGCATTATTTCCACTTGTAACCGTTTGTGGTATTCCTCACACTCGTCCTTATATTTTTCCATTTCCTCTTTTGTTTGACGCATTTTCTTCTTCAATACGTCGAGAATCGTACCTTGCTGCATATTTGTCGTCATTTTTATTCACTTTTGTCGTAAACCAATTAATATTTCAAAATCAAAAAACAAGAGACACCTTCGCCCTTGTCGCGAAAATGCCAACTGACTGGGTCGTTCGTTATTGCTCCGTATCGCGGAGATACGAATGAAACAGCCGGCGAATAAAATGGCCGCTAGCAACCTACACTCGCTTTATCACTTGTTCGTTAACGATCAACACTTAGTGCAATACGATATTACTAATGTAATGGCTAAAAACAATAATGTTTAATTAATATTATACAATTTAATAACGATGCCACTCGTCAACACATTATAAACTGAATGAGAAATGAGAAGTGAAGACTGACAGCAAGCCACATACATAAACGTAAACGTCACAATCGAAGGCGCCGTCGGAACACACTAACTCCACCTGCTGTGAAATTTTGAAGCTACATCCTGTAGGGTCAAATTGAACCTTTTAAAATTCATAATATACTTTAAATCGGGATGGTCGCAATGGTCCAATAAATAAATACAATATAAATCGCGGAAGTGAGCACTATCAGAATATAACAGCAGACATTCCATTATCATTATCACACAGAAATCGTGTGAATCAAAGTAATGTTCGTAATATGTAGCAAGGGCTATTAACTAATAATTCACATTTAAAATAGACTTATATGATTATTTTGATTACATAAATAAAAAAATCCTTGATTATCTCAACTCGGGTGTATAAGTTTAAATGCATTTTAACGCCATCTAGTTGAGTAATGTTAACATGCAACTAGTTCCGTATGTCTTTTGTATGACATTTTGCCGATCATTAATAATTAAGTATTTTTAGTCGGATTCAGTATTTAAATAAGAAGTCTCAGACAAATGAAAGTGACATTTAGATTTTCTAATTGATGTGAGTTATATGTTATGTATTCCTACTATGGCATTATAAGGAAGGGTTACATATTATCATGGATTATAAGATTATATGTTATTATGGAGTTTTAAATTATCATTGGAAATGAAGTGTAGCTTATCATCTAGGATAAAATCTTAGATGACATGTACCTAACACTATTATATTTAATAACAAAATAATCTTTGTCTAAAAAATACTACTCTAAAATACATAACTTGAATGTATAAATATAGAATTTTTTTCTGAATGCCTATACATATAACCTACCTATGTACACTAATATTACAAGGAGGAGAAATTTGTTTTTTGATTAAAAAAATATATAAATTCTAAATCTACTGGACAAATTTTAAAAATTACGTGTTGAATACATATTATCAGAGAGTAACATATTATGCTAACTAGTTAACATTGATTAATGAAGTTTTACGAAAACAGAAACTATTTCAAAATTGTACCACAAATTAGGTCTAGGATATGGCCGTACCTACAATATTCAAGTATAAACCAGTACATGTGTAAAATTTGGGGTACATTAATCTGAATGTAGTATTTCCTGTCCTGCTACCTATTATAATATGAAATTTATGTTTGCAATCACGTATAACATTTAACTGACATAACATTTAACATACATAACTGCTATAGTTACAAATAATTTTTTGTAGATTTGCAAGACCCGTAAGATTCATATGTTTAACCAGGTAATTTAAAAACATAGTCGTTATGATTATATCAAATCATCCAATTGAAGAGAACTAATGATATATATTATGTTTTAAATCTTATTTATCCTTATCAGTATTCTAACCAAGAACACATTTGAGATGATTTTATCTATCTGATAAGCATAGCCTTTATAAGATACCATCACGTTTATATATTAAAGTCACGTTTTATTTTTTATTTTAACAAATTAAAAATGGTTTTAGTTGTTAACTAGCAATAATTTTTATTTAATTATACTTTCTTTCAGAGCGACATCTAGCGCAAAAATGAACAACTACAGGCGTAAACAAGAATCGAGAGAAATGTCAAATTGCTCAGCTGATCGCAATTCACCCGCTGCTCACAGCAGCCGTAATATTCTCTGACGAAATGCGATTAAAAATAGTTTATACACATTTAGCCCACGCCTGGCTAGTTTAAACAAATGTACAAGAAAATAGGAAATTACCCTTTTTAATGCCGTATTCTTTATATTCTGCAACTCATTCTTGATAATGGAAAATTTCATTATTGTGTCAGATGAGAAAATAGAACTACCAAATGCGAGACCGGGATAATCTGCACATCTTCTATTTCTACGATTTTCTCTAGCTGCCAACACTTCAGTACATTCACTAGGGCATCTAAGTTTAGCAAGTTCTGCTGTCTCAGGGTCATCATCCGATATGATATCGGAGACTGGAGGCACCATCTCCGCGCCATCACCCGATGACCTTTCTTCTTTAAAAGAGAAATCATCGTCGGAGAGTTCAATTGTTTCTGACTCCGGAATATTTGTGTCAAAGGTAAAGTCATCATCGATATTCGAGTCGTCGCTTATATTTCGATTTGAAAGTGCATCGTCACTACTCGTCCTTGTCATTTCTTGAGATTCACTAACACTATTGACACAAGACACAACATCGTCTGTTTCTAAGGTCACTTCTTTGGACGGAGTTTTGTTTACGGTTGGCCCGGGGGCGGGAAGGCGGTCGCCTCTCATCCGCGGGTGGTGTTGATGCCCCCTGCGCCGCACGGGGGTGCGCCCGTGGGCGTGGGGCGCGGACGCGGACATCACTGCACGCCGCGCGCTCCGACCGGCCGCGCAGTGCGCGCCGCCATATTGACTGAATTGAATGTGTGCAACAACAAAATACCTACGTGGCGCTGCCGTCGCCTTTCATTAACTTTCGTATTATCTGTCAATTGTCATTTCTCAAATTGAATTACTGCTTTACCGGCAGTTATATTAGCGGTCAATTTCAAATTTGTTCTCCAGTAGAAGTGTGCGAATATGGTACTTTTCCTTATAACTAACCATATAACTTGCTTTATGAGAATTGAGAGAACCGTGGGGTGATTAGAGGTCGTAGTATTGCTAAAGTGATTTTTATGAACAAAACTGTTATTTCAATATAGTTCGACAGTCATCCTCTTGATACTTAATGTGTAAAAATTAAAATAAAAACTTTATTATTTTTGTGAATAAACCACCACGCTACTTTTCTCTCTGCACAGATTCTAACTTGTGTTAAATGCTACTTTAACAAAAGTGATGTAAACAAAGTAACCGTGAAAAATATCTACCACTTAAGATATTATTTGTATAATGATATATAATTTATAATTATTAAAACCTATGGAGTTTTCTTCATTATATACAATGTTTTAAAAATAATTACAAATTGATTAAGCATTCGAAGAACGTGTTTAAACTGGCGCGCGTCTAATTTTACTGAAACACCGGGCACCGGGGCCATATTAGGTGCGGGACGCCAAAAATAACCGCCTGGTGCGCACGAGACGTTTAACATAAACAACCTCATATTTTTAAGTAAATACAAACGTAGATATTCAATTAAACAAAGATTCTATATAAGTTTATTAGATTTTATGAAACGTAAAACCTAATATAATTCTAAAGTTTCACTTTAGAAATAGTGCGATATTAATCGATAATGGTTAATTTCCTGAGTGTCATTAAAGTAAACATTTCAAGGTTTTGGCTCATTAAACGCATATAAAAGGATAGAATTCACTTACACAGTCACTTAACCATGAGAACAATAGTAAAAACGATTAGAAAAATGTGTAATTAGTTTCCAAGTAACTAATTTACATAAGGTCGTACCGATATGTATTTTGGTAATAAGCTGAAATATTGAGGACGCGCTAATTAGGATTAGCGTTTTTTATTCAACCTACATTTCGTTATATTAAAATATAATAATATTATATATACCTATATAATAATAAACATAAAATATATTTTACTTTAATTATTACGCGACATTAAAAATTACATTACAATTTAAAACCATTCAAACAAAGTTATTATGGCACCATCACTATTGAAGATTATAAAGCTGAAAGTATTTAACTATTCAGTAATAAATATAAACTCCAACAATTAATTATTTATAAAAATATATATATAAATGAAATTCATATTTAAGTGGGACGTCATGTAGCGACTCCGGTGCCTCATATAAACAGTGTGTGGTTTTGAAGCCATAAATTCAGTGTATTTTTGTACCTTTAGGAAATAAACAAAATTTTCCTACGTTCCTATATTCGTTGCTTTGGTGTTACCGAAACATTTTTATTATTGATTCAGTGAAATCGAACCCAGTACCTAACTCACTTAAAACTGAATGTCCAATAAGCGGTTGAATATAAATGTAGATATAATAATCAGAATAAAAGTAAAATTGCCTTTATATTTTTTACCAATTTTTTGGTTATACTTCTTTTGGTGCGTTAGGGAAAAATTATGAGAGTAAATTTTAACGATGTGCGCGCACCGTCACAAAAAACCGACACCCTGAAGTTAGCTATAGTCATATAAATAAATAATTTTTGAAAAGATTTTTATCTTGTTACGCCAAAGAAGTATAACTTCTAACGCGTGTGCATAAGTACCCCCTTTTTTTTTTTTTATTAATGATATAATATCCGTATTAAAATAATACTTACGGTCTGTAATGCCTTCTCCTTCTCCTCAAGTTTGCCGTTGACCTGCATAAGGGCCTCCTGTGTCTGGTCGAGCTCATTCTCAATCGTCTGGATCTTCTTCTGGAGCTGTCTGGCCTCTTCCTCTGCCTGTATATTTAAATGTTTTAATATTTTGGGACAACTCTCTCAAGTCAACTCGTTTTGTTTTCTGTATGACCTCTGAATTAAAAGGAATTATTAAGAGAAGTATTTTTTAAATGCGCGACATTATAAGAACTTTGAAAAAGAATTCAAAGTATGGCGACGATTTTAAAGTTATATAATATTAATTGGGTGACAACAGCATTGTCACGATAAAATATGTTTTTGATATAAAGTTTTTTTAAACACAACATGGGTTCTTCTCGATTTAGGTACAGACCTCGGAAAGGACAATTTTCTCCAAAGATTTAAAAAAAAACTAAAGGGTTTTAATGAAGCGCATAACGGGGATCGTACCAGGAACGCATAAGGTACAAAGATGTCGAGACATTAGTGCATTGGACGTGCATGGGCGTCCTTGGCCTGCTACTAGCACATAGCACTGCGGTCAAGACTCTATACTACATTTTATTAGTCCTTTTAGAAAGGAAATATGATCCTTTTATTGATGCCGATCACTGCGGTTAATTTGTATGATTTTTAAATATTTTTGCGTTAAGTATGCCTTGAAGTAATTAGATTTCTGGACTGTGACAAAAATATATGTCGCATAATTTTTACGAGTTAAAAAATATATAAAAAGAATAAAAAATAGATTAAAGAGGTTATTCATATTGCTGATGGAATACGATATAATATCATAAATTCTAATAATGCCTTCGTCACAAGTACTAATAGACTATGACAGGAAATTTTGCATAGGATTTTATTAAATAAAGTTGACGTCATATCAATGAAAAACCAATTTTTTGCTTCTTTCATTTTACGTAAATCATGCTATACTGAAGTACAAAGTTTAACAAGAGAGTATAAAGACAAGGTCACAGAATAGTAACTTATTATTCCTAGCTTAGTCTATTATCTCTCTTTGTTTGTCTATGGTACTAAACAGTACCTTCTCAGCACGAAGGTTGGCATCCTTGGCCTCCTGCTCGCACATGGCAGCGCGGTCAAGTGCGTTGTCCTTCTCCAGCTTCATCGCCTGCATCTTCTTTTTGATCGCGTCCATTTTGGCGGGGTTTTTGTTTGTTCTCTCCTAGACGAAAAGCTGTAAAAAATTTAGTAGGTAAAGTTTCTACTTTTAATATTAATAGGACAATGTAGTCTATCTTATATGAGATGTTTAATTAGGTATTCAGTTATAAAAGTAAAAGCTTTCGTTTAGGCTAGACTTTCGAGGATTTTATAGTAAGACATTTAATAAAGCAACGATACAGTGTTATTAGACATTATTCTTGAAGTGTTCCTACTTAAACCAAACAAATGGAGCCTCCAGATTTAACGCTATTGTATATAACCGAATGGACCAAGAAAGTATTTAAAATAATTGTACATTTTGCAGTTCTATCGAGATGAACTTCTTTTGTAATGGGTTCTAAGAAGTAATACCCGATGTTACGTAAATGGCGTAATCGTTGCCGCTGAAGAAATATCTGGATTTTTAAAATATCTACTTGGTCCATTCCGTGTACAAGGAAAAAACAACTTGTTGAACTTTACTAAATGTACCGTTGAGATACAGCTAATCTAAACGAAGTTGTTAACTGTACAAAAGCTAGTAAGCGCTCATAAGGAATAGCTAGTAATAGTGAGAAAAAATGGCGGGCTGAGTCGCTTATCCATTGAATTAGCATTTTACTAAATATTTTTGTCAAGAGAAAAGACATACCTAAGACTGTAAGGCAGGTCGTATGGTCTACAGACTTTAAGGCTGGCCGGAAGGCAGATAGTAACAATAAAAAAAATAGTTATAAAATATAGAATACTTTAAATTTAGAATGTTTTTATTATTAATTTTTGTTCAACAAAAACATGTAAAACATTCTGTACTGATTCAAAACACCAAATGCAATAATTAGTGACTTCCTGACTGCATTTATTCATTCATTTCGGTTGCATGGAACAGTTCAATGATCTGAATGCACCAAGAATAAAACAAGGGATTTCAAAGGAATCTTATTCTAGTAAGACGGGAATTATTTTCATGCACTCTCGAGAGTATTCAATGCTTATGATAAGAAAAACTATATTGTATAAAATCCTTCTATTTCTGTGTAGGTACCTACGTCTGTCTAAAGCAGCACAAAGAAATACCTACAAAAATGGAATAACAATAACAGACACAGAAATGTCTCCCGGTGTACTAAAATATAATTTGAAACGGCTATTTTGTTATCAAAATATTAATCTACCTAAGAAAAGCTTAAGCTTCAATGATTTTAATTCAAATGAATTTAAAGATTTTTCATAAATTAACCCACTTCTGTAATCATTTAGCTAAGTAAACATTACACATAAAATATTCATATTATCCAGTATTTGATTTGAATAAAACATTTGAGTAAACATAAAACGCAAAACGCGCGGACGAAGGCTCTGTCGTGGATGAATCAAAGGGAAAATATTTCTTTGTGAGTCACACAATGCAAAAATGTGGATGCTGCGACCAACGGGATCTTATATATTAATTCTTAACATCGATGACGAATTACAAGACTTTACGATTTACATTTTTATATCAACATTATTTTAAACATTAGGTTACGGAAAACGTTAACAATAAACAGTCGTAACGTTGATTCGTGTAAATATTTTTTTTTATAGAATAAGGGCGTACGAGCCAAGGCTGTACATTTTGCTCACTCAGGCTTTCTTAGTTTTATAAGCGTGGCGAAAAATATCGGAGTTACGCCCCGAGAGGACGCCAGACGCAGGCACATTGCACATTGCAGTCATTCGTTACATAGCAATAAAAATTTCATTATTTCGCTTATATTATATTATTGTACGCGAGTGGTTAATACAGAGTAAAACAAAAATCCTCTATTATTTAAAGCACCCCGATGACCCAGGAACCGTACAAGGGAGGTAAAGAGCTTACGGGACGCCCAAAAAAGGGCGGACATCGCAGTCTATTGACACCCATTTTTAGTGGGTGCGTTGCCGGCCTTTAAGGGAGGAGAAAATAAATAATGTAATTTGGCTTTATATCCTTTAAAGGACTTTTGTCCTGAACCAAGATAATATAGTGAGATTGCTTTACAGGCAGACTGCCGCCTGTATGGCTTAATGCGTTCTAGACATATCGTATCACCAGGAGTGTCTGGCCTGTTAGTTGTTTCGGATTGTAAGGCATAAAAGGCATCTACAAAGATATATAATCTGTAGTTAAATTGACACAAAAATCTGTCCTTTAATAAATTATATAATTACATTTGTAACTAACGAACCTATGTTTAAAAATGTATGCAATGTCTAAATTTTAAATTTGTATTAAATATATATTATACTAGCCGTTTCGCGCCCGCTTTGCTGGTCGAATTAAAATAAATTTTATGTTTCATTATTTTATTTTTTTCATATTTTTATTATTCTTCTTTTTAACTTCCCGCTAAGAAAATTGAAATATTTCGAAAATCGAGTTTTTAACAGATGTTGACGTTTAGAGGTTCTAGGAAGCCTCCCCGAATGTTTCCGCGGTGAAGTCCGTATGGATAAATAGCCATAAACCATCTAGGAAAAATTTCGCATCGAATGGTGGTAGTTTCATGTCGATACGATCAGTGGTTTAGGCGTGAAAGAGCCTCAAACGAAGACCATTTTTCTTTTATATATAAGATAAGTTGAGATTTGAACCTGGAAAAAATCGTAGTTTTAATTTTGAATTAAGAATACCGATATTAAGAAATACCTTGACAAATTTAAATTTACGTGTAAGTTACAATTTGAGGTCAAAAGTCATTTGTTATAAAATTCTATGACACTATTTGATTTTGTCTGATTTTGTTTATCTAAGACGGAAAAAATCTCGCAAACATGCATGACAACAACTCTTTATTCATAACTTAAATTGAACCTTTAATGGCTATTGAATGTTTTGTCTTACGATTATTCAACCGTTTTAAAATAAATGTGTTAAAATATTCTTATTCATTTATGAGACGGGCTGTTATCACCAAACACTAATGGTCTATTGTTTTAACAAACAAACATACCTCAAAGTTACGTAAAAAATATTTCTGGTTTCAGATAGAGTAACTCCAAGCATACTTCAGGTGATATTTTACTTGCAACATTATTTATTAGGTGTTAAAACGCAAAGATACAGCACGTCGGTAATGTAACTGATATTCTAACAATAGATGCATTCCAATTTAATCTCTTCGTGCGGTATTATTGACTTATTTACTTTAAAAATTCTTTTAAATACCAAATGTCGTATGACCTATTTTTAAACGACATTGAATTTAATTGTTTAAAAGTAATGTACATGTCCAATAAAATGAATTTCAGAACGACGTACAATAAATACACGTATATGGCTATCAGTATGCTCAAGGGCATTAAAATAAATTTCAACATTCGTAAATGTTAAACATAATTATTATTTGTACATGAATTTCCAGTTATTATCCGTGACGTTAATCATTACTAATAACTTTTTTATTAATCATCACGTCCTTGTGTCATTAAGTAATAAAAATTGTTTTGGAAGTATTCATATATTTTTACTTAAATTTAATAGTAAACTATAATTATAAAAGAAATTGAAGTCGTAGATTATTTTATTTAACAAATGTAAAATCCCGGAGAAATCTCCATGCCTACTTTTATTTTCGGAGGAGCCGGAAAAGTTTTCATATTATCAGCTACTAGAAATATTTTGTGGCAATAAACAGGCGCAGTCGCCCCCGCTTCCCGCGCTCCTACGGCATTGGTCAACATTTGGCTAATTGCCAAAACCGCGGGAAACGTCAGACGGTCATGGATTCCTATTGGCCATAGCATGTGAAATTTAGCACCGAGGTATACCGCGATATTTAAAAATAGAATTTGAGGCATGTTACAAAATAATATAGACAAAAATATTCTGACTCTACGCTTGATCTGGGTCAATTAAATCTATGTTTAACAAATTAAAACAACAACTTAGTTGGATTAAGTTGTGTACAAGTTGTATACTTAATTATTGTTTTCAAATTAATTTCAGATTCTTTACGAAAGAAATAGGTACTTATGCAAAGTTTAGACAAAATATTGTTAATAACGGATAACTTTTATAAATTGATGAATATTAATTTTAGCTACCCCTTGACAATATCACTGTCACTTACCGTACCACTTAAAATTAATAAAAAAAAACACAAATTCACTATGGCACTACACAGGATACTTACATGTCGAGTCGACGCGTGCTGTGGTGCGACTGGCCTACGAAGCTGCGTCTCGCCCGGTGTCGCCTTACCGCCACGAAAGGAGATGACAACCCCGCCCCGAGAATACAGCGAGGCTTATTTCTTTACTTTTCAAAAAATTATTGCATCTGATATGGAATACAAGGATTCAAATAATAATTACAACGCATGTGTACTTAATATTAAAACGTAATTATTTTTGGTGTTTTGAAAGAGCTTATAAATAAAATTGATTAATTTTCGGAACTTATTTTTGTGATTATCACATACATGTCTAGCAAAGAGCAAATCCTATTCGTTTATTAGAACTAGACAAAATCAGAGAATACGTATCTTTATATTTTTCTGTTAAAACATTTGATTATCATTGGAGCAGCATCAATACTAATATAAAAATTGTAAATAAATTATATGTATATTTTTAGAAAGGATTTTTTTTTTTTTGGTTTAAAACCCTTTTTTCCCCCCCCCCCTTTTTTTTGGGGGCCCTTTTTTTTTTTTTTTTTCTTTTTTCCCCCCCCCCCCCCCCCCCTCCCCCCCCCCCCCCCCCCTTTTTTTTTTTTTTTTTTCCCTTTTCCCCCCCTTTTTTTTAGATATATATCTGTGATATGGAACAGTCAGTGGCACAAGAAAGACACCCAAGAAAATGGAAAAGCTTCTAAAATGGAGTAAATTTTTCGGTGGTTCCTTTGGGGGGGGGGGGGGGGGGGGGGGGAAAAACCCAAAAAAGGGGAAGAACCCCCCCCCCCGGGGGGGGGGTGGGGGGGGGGGGGGGGGGGGGGCCCCAGGGGGAGACACCCCTGAAGGAGGCCTT